TTTTCAGCAACCTTATGAGTAGTACGTTACAAAGATATACATGCATCGCGATATCTCGAATATCGTAGCGACTGAGACATGAGGCGGCCTGGTGCAGCACATTCTGTCGCCTGAAAACATCACAAACGAGAGATTCAGCTGAGTCCCAGGTGAGTCTCTCGAAAAAAAAACAAATTAGTTTGCAAATGAGTATATATTCGCGAGCAGCTGTACAGTGTTATTCGTTCTTTTGAGTTTCACGCTCACGGTTTTTTCATGCCGCTCGTAATAGTGTCCCCTTATCTGGTTGAGGAAAAACAAAATCTTATCAACAGGTTATTTCACATCGGTTCTATTAGGTACAATCTAAAGCCTGCCGGAAGATTTGTGGACAATGTGAGGAGAGTTGGGAATTTCAATCGGGAGCGAGTACGATCTATGCCGAAAAGCCCAAAAGCACTGTAAGGCTGTTTGATCAACAGTGCACTACTCACGAATCGCCCGAAGCAATTGGTGTAGTGATTTTTTTACCAGTCCTCGGGGGCTTACACAGCAGCCCCGGATAGATGAACTCGTACAGCAGAGCTGCACCGCTCCCTTGGTTGGTTTTAACTGTCTTTCGAACGTGTTGGATAATACACCGAAGGTCACCGTTGTGATACAAGTGTCTAGTTTTTCAGGTTGGCCTTTCCTGACGCACCTCTCCCAGGAGAAGGGGAACACTGCTGCTCCCATCAATATGGATGTGCTTGTAGAAATGCCTTTTTGCCTATCACTTTATCTCCAGGCCGCCCCGTAATACGATTAGGCACTGTAAGGAGAATGGTTGTTTTTCGTCTGAGTGTCCCTGTTGGCTTTCCTGACATGGCTGAATCGTAACAAACTGAACCATAGTCAGTGCAGCCCCCGGGATCATTGCAGTACGGAAGCTTGACCATACCAGAAGGTGAAAGCTTTCGACCGGGTAATCTTAACTTAATTTCAATCCCAGTGATCATCCGTCTCAGACGGTCGAACAGTGGACGAAGGTAGGCCAAGGAGCGCGTTATCATAATTCACTGTTATGTTGGAAAACGGTGGTGTACGGCTGAGGACGACGAACCGCCTTTGAAATGTGTGCTCTACCTTTAGCCAAAGACAGGTAAAAAATGAGCCGAACAGGTGGAAACCACGGCTTTGAATGCAAAAGCCGTTGATTGGTGGTCGCAAACCGTGCACGTTGGTAACGATAAAAGAGTACTACACGACGACAAACAGCCAAACTAACCGGAGGTTTGACAGGAGGTCTGCTATTGACAGGCATGGAGGACTGGGTTATCTGTTGTTGTTGTTGTTGCTGCTGTTGTTGTTGTGGCGACGGGGGTAGGGATGCTTGTTGCGGTTGCTGCTGCAACTGCTGATGTTGGTGCAGGGCAGCCAGATGACCCAGGGCGGATTCAATAGCGGCCGCGAACTCATCCGCTTCCTCGCCCGAGGTGAAATTCAATCCGTACACTTGTTTGCTGTCTCGCCACTGATGAAACGTTCGACGGGCACATTGATATTTGAGGCCACGTACAATGGCACAGTTGAGGACCACCTGGTAAGGACAAATCAGTAGAGGAAAAAGGTCAAACGCACGGACCAAATGTGGGAGAACTTTAACAAGGCAGCCTAGGAAACTTACACTGGAATGGCACCTTTGAGAAAACTACTATATCGCTTTCAGGCATGGAAAGAAAGGACAACGCAACCTCACGCATTCGGAAACACGGTATGGTTCGACCAAGGTTCTGTCACTTTCAAACAGAGTATATGGTCGCCATGGAGAGGGGAAATAAATGCACGGGATTCTGCCATTGGTGAGTGATACACAAAGCGCCCTAAAACCATCTACACAGCACTGCTATAAGTTTGTACAATAGACTGCAACTGGATACATCACATGTTTTCGTGACTGCCAGAAGTGCACTTTCCGATTAGCTCTCTTCTATACTGACAGCCGCCTTATCCAAATATATCCACCAACATTCGGTTCGACATTACGTTTGCATACGAAAAAAATGATAATACATTGTAATGTTAGCCGCGATCGGGTCACATAAATATCGAATGGTATTCTGCAATTAGACTAGACAGTGACAGATTTTGCTTCATTTTGGCTGAGAAAAATGCTAGTACCGCTAGCACGAAAGATTTGCTGCTGTTCCGGGCTCTGTACTTTTCGCAAATAACAACAGAGGTTACACGTAGATTATCGCTGATCCATCCATTGTACCGTGCGTGGTATTACCCGGAAATCGATAAGAGAGATCTACGGCAATAAAGGTTCTCGTTATACCACAAACAGCCAGCCTTTGAATGCTTCATTAGTTGCTCATGACTGATCAACTAGCTGCTTCGTTTGTTTGAAGTGGTCGGCCGTTTTAAACTGGAATATTGGATAAAACAACCGGGCGCTGTCGATTGGATAATCGGAGCTCGAGGTTGCTTTCGGTGGAGAGCTTTGTTGATTAGGTTCGGTGTGGCCTTGTAACTCCCCCACCGTGAGGTTGAATGACTTAGTTCATTGCCTTTCGAGACAGAATTAGTGAGTTTTAGAAATGTTTTGGATGGAAACTGCCCGCGAGCAGCGATTTTCAACTGGATTCGCACTAAACGTGTCAGCTTCAGTGACGGTTTCTGAAGACCACATACAGACACACGGACCACAGTAGAATCTGTCATTGAAGGATTGAATGCGTGCTCGGATCTTGTCAGTGAACACCTGTGAGTTCTTGGGGGGAATAACCTTCAGGTTCTGGCTGTCACACACGTACAGAGGCCACGTTTCGCAGGTACCGGGTGGACGTCTGCGTTCAGTATCCTGTTTTTTTGGCGTGGGTAGACGGGGGGGGGGGGGGAAG